TTGGCCCATTTTTATGTATTCTCTTTTATATAATTTGGAATTCAAGGTGTAAAGAACCCCATGAAGTGTAGTGAATCCTAGGGAGAGGTGTAAATAAGATTGATGATTCTTTGATTAGGATATATGATAATTTTGTTGGTGATATTGTATGGTTAAATAAATGTTTGTTTAAATGACAAAGTAATAGCTAAGTTTAATTCGCAGGAGCGTAATTAAACTCTATGTAAATAAAAGCGAAAAGAAAGAAAATGAAGAGAAAGTGAATAATAAAATTCGAGACTAGTGATTAACACTTCCTCCTTCAGGCAAAATTGTCTCGCAACGATGCTAACGGATTACGACACTTGCTAACTTGTGGTGGAAGCATTTCAAATCACATGCAACTGCAAACTCGAACAATTTTGTTCTCTCTTAAAGAAAATAATTTTTGGAATGATTTTTAGAGAGTTTTTGCAAGAGTTTTTAACATAATGCTCAATACAAATGATATGTGAGGCATAATGGACGTTCAAATGGTCCTATTTATAGAAGATGAGAACTTGTGAGTGAAGTGTCATACCCCAAACTCAACAACATTCACGAAGGGAATCATCCCTTGCTGTCACTAGCCAATCACTCGAATGACGATAACACCTGTTCAATATAGACTTCTTCGCCCTCCTGTTGCTCGTGCGCTAAGCAAGCAATGGAGCTAGACAACTTTTCGGTCCAACTTTGGATCGCTATTTCTCATTCACTCGAAATTGGTTTTGAGATTCCAATTATACCAGAAGATCTACTCGACGAGTAGAACAAGTTAGTCTATTTATATTTATAATTTGACTATTGGATTGAATTCGAATATTTAGTCGAACTTGACACAAAGTTACTTTTCAAGTTTTATACATAATCAAATTTTCAATTTTTAAACCAAATTCCAATAATCCCCCACATGAATGAAATTCAAATATTTTCATACTATACGAAAATATGATGTATTGTAGAGAGAAAGAAAGAGCAAAAAAATACTGTTTTAGATAAGGTAGCTTCCGGCCTTGAACTTTTCTTAATGAAATACTATCAGATTTACTTGATTGATTGGTGAACGTGATGTCTTGAACCATTCAACCGTTGATGTAAACCAAGACAATAATACTCACACAAATGTCTTTTCTAAATCGTCCATGGTTTTCATGATTTGGTTCATTTTGGCCATAAACTACTATTGGATTTTATAAGTGTTTTAGAAAATTTCAGCATTGAATAATTTTAATTGAGGCGGCCCCACCTTACACTTACATATAAAACTTCTTATTAAAAGTATTCTACCTTACTCCACTTAAGTTAATCAAGATATAGGAATCATTAAAAACATATCTTAACCTTTAACATTTTGTAGAAAAACACTTTAACTATCACATGAATGAGTTAGGAAACATTTTCCAAAGTGCAACACCGGAGATCTTACTCATCTTGTTGACGATTTTTGAACTAGTTTCAACAAAACTTGACGATGTTCTTTCGGTATTTCTATCGTCTTTTCTCAATCCTCAAACGGACTATCAATTCCTCCAAGTTCATCTCATTGCGTTTTTTCTGGAGATTGTTCTTGAAATCTCTCCACATAGGATGAAGTTTCTCAATGAGTCCAAAAACTTGTCAAAAATGAACTTCTTTGCTCTGGCATCATCGATCAGGTACTTTTTTTTCTAATAAATCTCATAGATATTTGATCGAGTCCATTAAACTATACACTCCATAAAGTGTATTGTACAATCCATTTAAAAAGTAATATTTGTAAAGGAAATCCGGGTGCTTTCATGTATTTAATGCAATAATCGATTTGCGATTATTTTCTCCTTCTTATATCGTAGGAGCGGTCTCTTTTAAGAACGTTGTCAAATTCAAAGTAGTAAAATAGAACATCTTTTTTTGCAATCTTTTAAAATTCACATCTCCAAACATTTTCGATATTTTTCCATGTGGGATATGAATGTTTGGTATAGGTATAGCCAAAGGCAGAGCCACATGGTTCGTACCATTCGTTGTTTGACTCAAAGTAGTCTCAACAGTATTCATTTCTGTTGCAAGTAAAAGTTCAACGCACAAAAAATGAAAGAAAATGAATAGCACACGGATGTTTATTCTAAAGATGAAGAGAAATGATTTATACAACAACAACCACAAACAAAATTTTGTCTTAAAATTGTTGGTGATATTACATGGTTAAATGGTTGTTTGTTTAAATGACAAAGTATTAGTTAAGTTTAATTCGGAGAAGGGTAATTAAACTCTATGTAAATAAAAGCAAAAAGAAAGAAAATGAAGAGAAAGTGAATAATAAAATCCAAGGCAAGTGATTAACACTTTCTCCTTAAAACAAAATTGCCCCGAAATGATGCAAATGGGTTACGACACTTGTCTTCCAAAATACAACTGATACAACTTGTGGTGAAAGCACTTCAAACCATAAACAACTTTGAACTCGAACAATTTTTCCTCTCTCTATAAGAAAATGATTTTTGGAGAGTTTATGCAAGAGTTTTTGATATAGTGTTCGATACAAATGATATGGGATGTACAATGGACGTCCAAAGTGTTCTATTTATAGAAGAGGAGAAGTTCATGCCCCAAACTCGAAAACCTTCACGAATGGAAGCATCCTTTGCTGTCGCTAGCTTCTCGCTCAAGCAACAATTTCATAGCTCAAGTGCTAGGCGAGCGATGGAGTTAGATTTCCCGGTCAGTTTTTTCCTTTTTTCTTTCCAACTTTGGATTACAATTTCTCATTCATCCAGAATTGATTTTGAGATTCTAAATATACCACGACGATCTATTCGACGAGTAGACCACGTTAGTCTATTTATATTTATAATTTGACTATTAGATCAAATTCGAATATTTGGTCGAAATTGATACAAAGTCACTTTTCAAGTTTTATACTCAATCAAATTTTCAATCTTTAAACCAAATTCCAACAATTGTTCTTCTTTGTAAAACTTTCCATTCATATTTTCTCTTTAAAATCATATTTTGTGTCTTGAATATTTAGAATCAGATTACAAAGACTCGTATATTTCTCTGTACATTCTTGGTGTTTAGTTGTGTCCATTAAATGCTTAGACACCAGTAAACACCTTCTAAGCATTTCAGTGTATCTTGAAAGCAATTTTGGTTTCCTTGTGCACTATATGAGCAAGGGATATATATTTGTTGACACACTAAAAGTGCAGTCCAAATTAAATAGCTCAAAGAGTGAGGTCTAATTGGAGAGTCCAGGATAAAGGTCCAAATAAGGTTATTGGTGAATGCAGAGGAAACCCACGAACACAGTAACATCATCGCCCAATCTTGCAAGACGCTCAAAATTTGAGCAAATAGAGTGCCTTACGGTCGCCCAGAGTGACAACCACGTTCTCGTCCAAACTTTCGAGCCGCCCGGAATCTTAATACATGAGATATTATGGTCATTTAGAATAGCAGTTACTGAAACAGTTATCAAGCAGATTATCACATTCCACGATTTAAGGAGCTCATTTGAAGGCAATTGAAGACAAATAGTAATAGCAGCAGTTAGAGATGACAGTTCAACAACAAGTTAACCACCATGAAGAAAGTTGGTAGTTAGAAAGCAATCAAATAGTTTTCAAGCGATTTGTCGCGAAGAAATCATCATGAGAATATAAAAGGAAGAAAAGACATATAAGAAAGAACACCGAATCAAACACTTTCAAACAGAGAATATATAATTTCAATTTCTTAGATTAACTTTAAGTATCCATTTTCAGTACTCGTGTGCTTGTGCCTCTTAGAAGCATTCTGTTTATTTCCAATTGTAACTCTCATCAATAAAACACCCTTTTTTGGGACTTTGTCTTAAAATGTTTGTCCCTTACACAATCGTCTGAATTTCTTTTTTAATTGTTAGCTGCAACCCGCGCGAAACAATATTATTTTAAGGAGAGCGTCAACATGCAACTTGAAATCCACCAATTTTTTTTTTTCAAGCATGGTCCGAGTTGTCCCACCAACATCTAAAAAATATCATCATCTACCTAAGGGAGATGTCACCCATCCTCCTCGCCTCTGCCTTCTTCCATTTCATCTGCATTTTCCCACGTCCCCCATCGTATTATTAATTGCACTACAAGTTTCGTCGCCATCTCTTCCCTCCACTACATTTCATAGCCAATTACATAAGAGTTGCTCGAGAAATTCCCGAACTACACTCGGATAGTTAACCGAGAGTCTCTCTAGCTCGAAAAACCAGGACTAGGAAAGGAGTGTTGCAAATGATAGGAGGAAAAAAATAGAACGAAAAAAAAAGGAGAATTTTTTCGTCCTTTTTCACCCTGCATTTGTCGACCGGTCCATTAAATTTTAAGATCAATGTCGAAACGAAAGACATAACTGAAAGCAACAAAAACTTCTAGATCACTTTTATCTTTTGTTATCATTTTACCAAACCTGTTCGTATCTAGAGCCTGATCAAATGATTTGCTCATTAGATTGTGTTTGGTACGCAATAGTAGAGAACAATTTGGTAGACAAGATTTTTTAATATCATTTCTATATTATTGTCCAACACTTTACAATTCACCTAGCAAAACATGTCATAAATGAATGTTCGGATATTAGACAAGATTAAAGAAGAGATAACCGTTACAAAAAAATAAAAAAATTCGGCGTACTGAATATGTTACTTGTTGAAATGTTTATACATGTTTGAGCTAGATTATGAACACTGCAAGGTGATTCTTACCTTTCACTTTCCAAGTTATACAAGCTTCAAGAAAAGTTAGTTAAAGGCTAAATATCCTAGAAATTTCTCTCAAAACAATGTTTAAAAGTACTCTCTTTTAAGAAAACAGTTGTGTTTAATTTTATATTAAGAAAATTTGGCATGAACACAAAGTGTTTCTTTCTGCTAAATTAAACCTTAATTCATGTGCAAAACTTTGAAATTACATGAAACAATCCCTAATTCCGGTAAATTAACTTGCATTAAAAAATCTTCGTATCTAAGCAGATAGAACAGTTTGCTTCTGTGGTGAATCCTCAGCCTGCAAGCTCTCATAGTATTTCACCAATACTTGCCATCCTCCAGGACACATAAATCCATCAGGAGGGTTTTCACCGTTTCTCGCGTAAGTCCGCATCTGCAAAGTAGACACAAAATTTACATGAGAAGTTCGGGGTATTAGGTACATAATAGCATTGGGCCCATCTATCTTCCATGGCAGATACAATTACAAATAACAAGAAGCATTATTCCCAATAAGCTTAAGCTCTCTCTCTCTCTCTTGTATACACGCCAAAGGTTTGCGCATCACCAAAATAATTTACGGACATATCATGAATTACAAAATAATAGAGACATTTAAGGCCTTAATTTACGCAATATTCTTTCGAAATTTCTTTAAAAGGACGAGCAACAGCTAAGAATGGAGTCAAAATTGTAAACTTACCTTGGTTCCCGATATGAAGAGAAATTCTTTAGCGCGTGAAGGGTCAAAAAAAGCCATCTTCTTTTCTACAGTATCATATGCAGCTACCTGCATTTTTGTGTCGATGAGAAAATGCAGAGAACTCGTTATAAATCCAAGGAACAAATTTTATGGAAAGCTTTACATCAAAATAGTACATATCAACTATCAGCATCGAGGAATCAACTATTGAAGGAATGAATTAAAACTATGTCCTAAGAAACTTTGGACACGAGACAAGCAGATAGATGACCTCTTTTGACTACAACAGGTCATTCAATTCACTCACTTCAGTGTGAAAATATGCATGATAGAGTCCGAAATGGACACAAAATTGGTATGTTCAGTATGCCGGAATAGGCTGAAATGGACATGACCAATGAAGAAAAGAACATTAAAAGTTGTTCAATACTGTATAACAGCGTCCAATAGTAGGTAACAAACATGCCCAATATGTTAAGTGGTGATATGAGAAGAGACGTGAAATGATGGTTCGAGTGAACACAGGATTGGTTACGAGCAAACTAAACATTTCATCTACTATGAAGTCGGAAACTTCTGCAATTGCACATAGAGCTGATGCAGGTTCATGAATGCACAATATTTAGAGTTACCTACCCTGAATGGCAAGATGTTTAGTTTCTCCAGACCTGGAGCCATGCTTAGCACCTTCTTCCCATGATCCGGATCATACAAATCCCTCTTTTCTATTGGGTGGCCAATACCAGCAGGATCACGACCTACAATGTAGAAATTAGCACCTGCATTTATCCGTGCCTTTGCATGCCATTGTACTTCAGTTGGTCCAGCATAATGCATTGGTGAGGGAAAAATAGCTACAATTGTAGTCGCAGGATCAAGAACCCCGTCTTCTAGTACCTATGAAGAATGAAAACCTCATATAAATCTGAACGGCAAGTACGATTTATTTTAGGGTCCAAAATCATCTCGAATATATTTGTTTCAATCTTCATTGTAGAAATTTGCAGTTCCAAAGATCCACGTTAGAAATGTAAAAGAGATTATGAATTTTATCTCCCCTCAAAAAAATCATTATCTTGTCCTGAGAAGGCACTCTACTGTATAATCAATTTATGACTAACACGTTACATATTCAATATTGAAACATCCCTTTAACATGTCCTAAGGTTGTTTTACGATTATTCTGTTTCTTCAGGGACAATTTTCCAAGCACGTGAGGTTGACGTTTATGCTCATAAAGGGCCATGTTATCCAGTATATAATTTAAATTAAGAGCAAGTTTGGCAAAACCTAAAAAAGTGATAGTACCTTTCTTGAAAGTAAGGACTTTTCAAACCAAAAATACCCACCAAAATGTAACTTCTAGAAAAGTTCGAAAATTTTGGCAAAAACAGTTGGGAAGTAAGTTTTAAGCTCAGCCAACAACGTATGAGAAATGATTATGTGCAGAAGTTGTCAACAAGACAACAACAAACAAACCTTGCTATGTTGTTCCATACGAACATCAAGTGGCACGTCATCAGCCTTTACGAAACCTCCTAATGGATGAAGCAAAAGAATTGGATTCTTGTACCCTCTTTCTAGAAGTCTCCTGCGAGTATCATTCATTAACAAAGCATGACCATTATGCACAGGATTCCTTAGCTGAAAAGCAAAAACCGCATCTGCTTGGCGTTTATCAAATTCTTTGCGCAGTTGTTGTGGAGAAAGTCTGTAGTGATCGAGGCCGTCATTGTATTTGATAGGCTGTAAAACTTCCAAATCTCCACCAATGAGCCAATTTCCAGCAGGCGTAATTACCTCTTCAACATAAGGTAATCCAGGAGCTGTGGTACCCCATGTTCTAGCAATTCTCTCTTCTTTGTTATGCTTGTATATTTCAATGCTGTTACCAAGAATAAAATGTCATAATACACTCCAAGGGAATTTTTGTCTACACATTAAAATAAGTAAATGTTATTTTTAGAATCAATTACGTGTCCTCAAATCCTGAACATTGTTTTCTCTTATCAATGATCAGTGTTTATCCACAAAACTAGAAGAGGATTAGTTCTATAAAAAGAAGAATTTCATTAACCTTAAATTTGAAAGAAATCATACTGTTTCTCACTTCAATTATCCATGCAAAGTGTTTATTGTCCAATCCATTAAGAATAATCCAGAAAAGGCCAAGGAGGCTTTAGTAGAGTGGTAGAAAGGAAATAGGCTTAGACTTGACTGTCAAAAGATCAAGCTAAATCATTGAATGGGTTATTTATTTGTTCGTTTTTAGTTATTGTACCACCATAGTTTCTTACGTATTGAGGTATAAAAATTTGTTGTTGTGATTGCAAATTCAAAGGGAGCGTGTTTAATGCACTAGTAAGCCCACGAGTCGGCTTCCATGAGCGAAGGGGACTCACAAGTAGTTGACGATTGAACCTTGAACCACCGTCTAGGACAATCTATATTTCCAGCAGTGAGACTCAATAGAACGAGTCTTCTAACCACAGTAGCACTACCAGAGTTTTGATACCACTTTTATATGCATTTGAGCATAACTAATCCTTCAAACCAGCTTACAAGGGGTTGGGGGTTGCCAAATCTAATAATAAATCCACAAGGTAGCCTTGCAAGAGTGATGCAGGATTCAGAAGTGTTTATTATAAACCTTAATTTTATTTAACCGAGACCAATCAATTCGAAGAAAGAAAAATAAACACTCAAGAATTCGCAACATTTACATAGGTGGCGCCTCAATGCAAGACTACATCCTCTCCCGCCGCTCAATAATTCACTGTACTGGAAAAAAGTTCACAAAAATACAAATTCCTGAACAGTTAATGAAATTTCGGTCTGGGGCGAGGTAGATCCGCAGCCAGTTTCTCGAAGTGGCAATAATTAGACCCCATAACTTAACAAGAAGTATTGTTACATGAACAAATACGTAGAAACAAACATATACAGACAATAAAAGAAGAAAAAAAGAGAGATCGTCGTTTATATACCATGTCGTAACGAGATACTAACCTTCTAAGAATGCCAACCAAATCATCATTAGGACCAGTCAATGCAACATTATTAGACACTCCAATTCTTTCCTTAACCTCATCATCAATGGCCAACACAATAGGAAGGGACATATTCACAACACTCCCATTTTTCATTCTCAAACAATTGAAATGCAAACTCTGCAAATACTCATCTTCTCTCATGAACCCTTTTAGTGGGCTAGCCCAACCCTCACTAATAACGTGAACCCACTCAAGATCAATCTTTGTAAGCCTCACCTTCGGCATTGTCTCAGCCTCTGAAACTGTGGCTGCTCTTTGGATTTCTGGCACCACAAGATCCACCAATTGACCCCCATCTGGCTCAATCAAAGAACTTTTCACTACGAAAGAACCCTTATTAGAAGGAGATGATAAAGAAGCCATTTCTTTATGGAAGAGCACAAATGGAGCAAATGGATTGAAATTGTAGATGGGTTTCGTCTTAAATTTGGTTCGGTAATGGCATTTCTTGATTGTGGAATGCAACTGTGTAGTATTATTGAGGTGTAGCCTAATTGTTAGGGACATTTTTGGTCTAATAATTGTTAAAAATGGCTTCTTGGTTTAGTTCTTGAATGATAGAATGAAATTGTATAGGGATCCGAGAAAGTCGAGTGGGTGGGGTCTTAGATTTGGTGGACACAATTTTATGTGGGGAAAATGAGCACGAGGAATAGTCTAATGATGCCACAAACTGAAAAGATGTCCACAAGTTTGTGGATTCCTAAGCTAATGGTCGGAGGTGTTTTTGCTTATTTTTTTAATTTATAAAGGAAAATTCCCCTTGTACAATCATCATGTGTGGGCCCCACTAACCTCCCTAATGATTGTACATGTAGGGGGTTTATTTATAAAGCCTACATGACTATGACTATAGTTTATATTTAGAGTAATGTTATTCATCTTCAGTGGGGATGAAAACACAATTTAAATGACTTTAAATGATATGTTAAATGAAATTGTGAAATTAAATGACTTATTTAATTTCACCTATCATTTAATGATTGTACAGTGAAGATGAATAACATTATTCTTATATTTATAACTTCCAAATGGATGCCTTTTTGTTGTTGTGCTTTAGAATTGATTATTTGAAAGTTAGTTTAAGAAACATTTTACGTTCAAGGATTTCTTTTCTATAAATCCAAATTTGTAATAACAGTAATTATTGTAAAATGCGTTTGAGACATTTCAAATATTACTCAAAATAATTTTAATATGTGAATTATGCAATACTGCTCATTAAACAATGTGGTAATCTCAAATAGGGATGGTTAGGAATCATCACGAAACCTCTTTAGGATTAGAGATAGTACGATGAAATAAGAGGCAAGTTTTTGCAAAAGTGATGGAGGATTCAACACCTCCAAATAAGTGGGAGCGATGGAGGCTTCCAACACTGCTAAAGGTTCGTGTCTTTCTTTTGCGGGTGCACAATAAGGCCATCCCAACTTGCTTAAAACTAGGCCGATAGAGGATTTTAAAATTGGCAAGGAATGCGGGAAGTATGTGTTAAGGACAATGCTACTTGTACATTAGCATGTACATAAGCGTTTACATAATGTGAGTGGAGGTAGGGCCTATGCTACAGTGTCGTGGGCTCCACCACACTCACATTATGTACACGGTAATGTACAAATAGATAAATCTATGGGTTGCCAGGTAGCAAAGAGAGCGTGGAAGGAGTTGGGTAGTGGCAATGATTAAAAATTGTTCTAGAGCTCGAGATGCATGTGGGACCTTTTATTTGGCATATCGTAGCTATACTCTGGGAAGGAGTTGGGTCGCATGACTCGCATTGGTAGTGCAGTGTGGGTGATATGGGGAAAGGAATAAGGTAGCTCACGGGTATGTCGCTAGGGAGATGATATTGTGATCCATTGAAGAATATTAAGAATATTACAATTTTCTTTTATACCTTTTTCCCTTTTAACTCACGTGCTTTTCACATTTTCAGTTAGTTTGTTTTTATTTCCAGGACATGTGTCCATTTCTCATTGGTTAGTGTTTTATATATATATGTTTGAACATCTACGTTTGTAATTGGATTTTTTCTGGAAAATAGATTGAGCAAGGCAGCTATATTTTGCTGCACCAATCCCTTTTATAAAATTGATCATGGTATCAGAGAGGGTTACCCAGATCCAGAGCTTGCTCATTTAAGCTTCCACCAAATTAATTCGAAATCAGGAAATGGATACAGCCATCGCACATGAGCATGATAATCCACTACCCATGGAACACGGATCACCTGGAAAGGATTACAGCAATGGAGATCCATTAGATCTTCAAGGATCAGATCATCCAGGAATGATATTATTAACTTCACCTCTAACTGGAAAGAACTACTTGAGTTGGAGCAGATCAATTAGAATCGCACTGGGAGCAAAACTGAAATTGGGATTTATAGATGGGAAATGTGAAAGACCAGCTGAAGAATCTCCGAAATTCCTAGTCACCTAATCTCATCTGACATTGGTCAGATCATGGATTTTGAATTCAATTTCGAAGGAGATTGTAGATGCATTCATCTACACAACCTCAGCTAGAGATCTATGGATTGAGTTGGAGGAGAGATATGGTGAATGTAATGGTCCCTTACTATATCAATTGCAGAGAGAAATTAGCAGCCTAACTCAAGGAACACTCTCAGTTGAAAGGTATTTCACTAAACTGAAGAAACTATGGGATGAAATCACGTGTTTAATGCCTATTCCAGTTTGTACTTGTGGAGCTGCGAAGGAGGTTTCTGATTTAGCCTCATTCAACAAACTTATGCAATTTTTGATGGGGTTGAATGATACCTATGATAATATCAGAAATCAACTGTTGGTTATGGATCCGTTACCATCAGTGAATAAGGCATATTCCATGGTTTTGAGGGTTGAGAAACAAAGGGAGGTACATGTGTTATTTCCAGAGATTAATGACAATTTAGCCATGATGGCAATGGGAAATAATGGCAGAAATAATGGTTCCATAAGAGGAAGAGGAAACTGGAATAACAGGTTTAATTCAGGAAGAGGGAGTAGTTACTTTGGAAGAGGACATAATAAGAGATTAAGCAATTTGGATAAAGAGGCATTAATCTGTGATTATTGCAGTGGAAATGGACATTCAAAGGAAACTTGTTTCAAACTGATTGGTTATCCGGATTGGTACAAAGGACTAAAAGAGCAAAGGACTAAGGATTTTGGAGGTAGAAATATGATAAACAATGTGATGAATATGAGTGATTCACCACTTGATTTTGAAGAAAAGGCAACATCTCAGAAGGGTGAAACATCATCTGGGAATATCACCAACATAGTGCAGCAGGAATTGATTAAGATGCTCAAAGGAAAGGTACTGGTTGACAATGGAAATCAGGTCAACTTTGCACATCTCAACAATTATTCTGGTATGTGTACTCAACATTTGGCTTTTAATTCGCTTGATGATTTAGCATGTAACACTTGGATAATTGATACTGGTGCCAGTACCTATATATGCACTGATATTAGCCAAATGACTGATGTGAAACCTGTTACACAATCTACCGTTATTTGCCTACCTGATGGATCTATTAAAAGTGTTAAACACACTGGATCCATCACCATTAATGGCAAACTCCTTTTAACCAATGTCTTACATATTCCTACTTTTAAATTCAACCTCTTATCAGTTCCAAAATTGACTCAATCAGCTAATATTAAATTCACCTTTTACCCGACTTATTGCTCCCTACAGGACCTGAAGAATGACAGAACTCTAGCAATTGGAAAACTGAATGGGAAGTTGTATACATTGGATGATTTTAGTTTTCAGATTACTGACAATGAAAAGTGTAATAGAGAGGTTAGTAGTTGTAATAAATTCTCGACTGGGACTCCTTTACCAGCTGATGATATTTTTTTTGTTAATAAAACTACCTCTGTTTCTCTCATTGATTGGCACAATAGGCTGGGACATGCCTCTTATCAGTATTTGCAGCATTTGGATTTCCTTAATCAATTGTGTAATGCTTCAGTCATTAAAAATTTACAACCCTGTGATGCTTGTCACAAAGCCAAACAGAGTAGGCTCCCTTTTCAAAACTCTCAGATTCATACCACATCCACATTTGATCTGCTACACATTGACATTTGGGGTCCTTACAAACATTATACTCCTACAGGAACTCCTTATATGTTAACCATCGTGGATGATTATTCTAGAGCCACTTGGACCTTCTTATTGATCCAAAAATCCCAGGCTATTAAAACTCTTGAATCCTTTTTTAAAATGGTCCAGACACAGTTCTCAAAACATGTTAAAATCATAAGAACTGATAATGGAAGTGAGTTTACTGGTCAGGAATGTCAGAGTCTGCTTCAAGCCCTAGGAATTTTGCATCAAAAATCATGTGTTTACACCCCACAGCAAAATGGAGTGGTTGAAAGAAAACATAGACATCTGCTGAATATGGCCAGGTCTTTAATTTTTCAAGCCAGTCTGCCTACTTATTTTTGGTCTTACTCCATTCTCATGTCAACATACATTATAAATAGAATCCCTAGCCCTATCCTACAGTGGAAAACTCCTTATGAGGTTTTATATGGAACAAAGCCTGATCTATCATACATGAGAACCTTTGGATGTCTCTGTTACATTACCAACACAAAACCTCACAAAGACAAATTTGATTCAAGGGCTCACAGATGTGTTTTCATTGGGTTTAACCCTGGACAGAAGGCCTATAAGGTATATGACACATCTAGCAAACAAGTTCTTGTCTCTAGAGATGTCATTTTTTATGAGAACATTTTTCCTTTCAAACTTGAAGAACAGCCTGCCTCTTCAACACCTTTACCTAAAGGACTACCACTTGAAGACTCCTCTACCACTTCATCTATATCCTCCCAAAATTCTCCTACCACAGTTCAAAATCATCAAGATTCTTCCCAGCATTACATACCTGATTTCACTCCTACTGCACAAGCATCAAACTCATCCAATTCTAATGCTGATATTGTACCTATTATTCCTGTACCTTTTGCTGAGACTGACATTACTGCAAATAATGATTTGGGGGAACCTAGACATAGCAATAGGGTTAGAACTAAACCTGCCTGGTTGGATGACTATGTCACTAATGTAACTGACAGTTCGGTGGAACCAATTGCTAGTGTTCAAGATATCTTGCCAGCCATTAAATTCAGCTCACAGCATACTCCTACTACCTTTCCTTACTCTGTTTCTCCTAATTTACAGCATGCATATATTTCTTTTTTGGCTAATGTGTCAAGTATTCAAGAACCTCATACTTATCATCAAGCAATTAAAGATCAGAATTGGATACATGCTATGAATAATGAATTGAAGGCCTTAGAGGAGAATCACACATGGGAACTAACTTACTTGCC